CTCCTCCTCCTCCTCCTCCTCGTCCTCCTCCTCCTCCTCCTCATCCTCCTCCTCCTCCTCCTCCCCTCACTCCTTCTGCTTTTCCTCCTCCCATGCGTGTTCCCCGAATGCCCTCCTGACCAGCTCGGGGAACACATGGTCCGATGCCTAAGCCAAGCTTCAGCCATCACGTTCAGCCAAAGATGCGGCTCTACAAGAACATGGGGGCGGCAACGCTTCGCCGCAGGCGTCTTCGATGTGTTGGAGGAACCGCTACGCAATCCGCTGTTGGGGGAGAATCAGGCTAGCCGTGAGGATGAAAGGAGCATCATACCAGAGGTAGAACCCAATCAGTTGTGACATTTCTGGGCGATGGGCCGCAGCCCCTCTGTAGATCGTTATGCCTCACTCGCTTTATTGCCGCTCGTGAATGTCAACTCTCTCTTCTTACACACGCTCTCTCTCTGTCTGTCTCTCACTCTCTCTCTCTCTCTCTCTTTTTCTCCCGACTCAACTCTGCTACATGCTTGATCTTTGAAAGATATGTACTCTGGGCGTTACACTGTCTACTTTCCCATTCGGACCGTGTACGCAATTACTCTTTCTCTGTCTGTCTGTCTGTCTCACTCAATATCTCTCTAGTCCACTTTCGATATCTTTCTGTCTCTCTCTCTCACTCTCTCTCTCTCTCGCTCTCTTTCCCTCTCTGTATACTCAGCTTATATCATTCGGATACGAGTCTGTGTTGTGCACCTGGAATCTCAACTCGCTAGGCTCAACATCACCAAACCCCTACTAACGGCTCTATCTGCCCAACTCTGGTCTCTACTCTCTGATCCGTACTCTCCACACTCTCTGTGCCGCATCCCTCAATCTCATCATGATCGCAAGGACCTGCGCGGTTGGCCGTAGCCAGAATCTCGAGAACAGCCGTACAATACCAGGAGCCCCAAAACCAGAACCTGGAAGCCCGCCGGACACCAAACTTTGCCCGGAACCCCACAGGGAACCCAGGAACTAACTACCAGAACACCCCAACCCAACCCGGAGACCCCAACTTCGGATCGGAGGGGGTGCGAGTTCCACATGAGTTTTTTTCAATGATCCCCGACGCCCCCGCCCCCCGCCCCCTGGGAATGGGTGGTTTGGTGGGTGGTGAGGAAGCTGGCCACCTACCGAAGTCGGCCGGGAACTTTCGCCAAATCCTTCAGCATCCGCTAGGACCCCTTCAGTGCAAGCACGCACCGACTCAGGATAATGAATAAATGGGGATGGGGATGTGGAAAAGGGGGGGGATGATGTCGAGGAGAGGAGCACCTGGACAACCCTCTGCGTAGCCTGATCACCAACTGGTTGGCTGGATTCAGCCAGTCCCATAAGACTGGCAAGAAACAAATTCCGGATAGAGCTGGCAGCCCAGCTTGACCGATGCTGCCTGCTCAGATGCAAATCTAATCGTGGAAGTCCTAAGACAAGCAAGGCAATCGGATTGGGGCAAAATCCTCCAAAGTAATGCCAGACTTTGTCGGTTGCACGAAAGTCTCCCCGATTTCGCGGAGACATGAGCATGGACGCACCTCAGGAGATTTCTCAAAGATGTCCTGAGGCAGTGAACGCAATGATGCATAAACAAACTCTGCTAGCGTAGACCCCAACCAATGACGGCTTGCGCTCTGGATGTGTAAGTTACGTGGTGTAGGCTATCAGTGCAAGCGGTGGAAACTGTGGGTGCAAGCTATGTGGTGCAAGCTATGTGCTGCGAGCTATGTGGTGCAAGCTATTTGGTGTAAGCCATGCAGTTCAAACTAAGTGGTACAAGCAGTGATGTGCAAGCTATGTGGTGCAAGCCGAGCTACGCGATGCAAGCTGCACGGTGCAAGCTACGTGGTGCAAGCTAGTGCAATGACGGCGGCGCAAGCTTCAGTGGTGCTTGCTATGTGGTGTAACATGTGGGGCGACAGCTATAGTGCAAGCTATGTTGCGCAACGCACGTGGTGCAGGATATGCGAAAGCTATGACCATGTGGCACCAACTATGTGTCATAAACTGCGTGGTGCGAACTGCGTGGTGTAGGCCCTGGGGGGGGGCCCACGATGCTACAACGGCCGGGCACCGATCGAAGACTGGGCACGCACACCCACACAGCGCACCGCACGCCCACGAGGCGCCCCCGGCCGGCCACCAGCCGAAACCCTGGCACGTCTGTCCACTGATGCACTTACAGCGCAAGTGAGAGCCCCCAATACTAAGTGCAGACATTGGTTGAGATCTTCAGGGCAAAAGAAGCCATCAGAGGGAGAAGGAGGGCGAGAGGGGCTGAAGTCATTGAGGGCGAGGCTGATCCGGTCGACACTCACCAAGAAGGTGTGCTCATCAAACCGCCTCTCGATGCTGGGCATGTCCAACGACCCGCACCCCCTGCACTGCCAGAGCATCCGTGCACGCCGCCCCCGACGACCATGCATAGAGGAACAAAAAACGGCAGAAATCAAACTTTCGAAGGTCCGCGCGGTTTTTTTGGATCTGCACCAGGAGCGGCGATGGAGCCGCCGCCAGGGGGGCACAACGCGGATGCAAGAAATCCGCGCGGACCATCGGACATTTATGTTTACGCCGCTTCTTCTTCTTCTTCGGACGCAGCCTTCCGCCACCAGCTGCATCGGCGCCTACCGGAAGCGCGGGAGCACGAAGCCTTCGGCCCGGAGCCGCTGGAACTGGGGGGGGGCCACTGCCCGTGCGGAACATGTCAGGGAGGGCACACGCAAGAGACGGCGCACTCTGCTAGCGCGCCACGCAGCACGGGAGCCACGACGCTCCCTTGATCATGGCACCGGCCTTTGGTGACGAGAGTACTGTGCGGTCAACTGCGCTCGCGTTCTGCAGGGACAGGGCGGCGGGGAACCCCGGCACGCGCGACGTGCACGTGTTGAGGGTCGTCCCTAGACCGTGCCAGGGCGGCATACCGTTTGACGAGGCGCCAGAGCAATTAGACGTGTGAGGGTTGTCGGAAGCGTTGGGGCTCTCCGCGCGGCCGCCACCACAGCTGCGAGACGAGACGTCCTGGACACCGGCACGTTCGGTTGCGCCACCTCCCAGCTGCGCAGAGTCCAGGGGTTCCACCAAGCCGAAGTCGAAACTCTCCTCGTAGCCATCTGGGCGAACCAGCAGCGGGCCCGTGCAGGTCACCACGCCCGCATTCCACTCGCCAGCCTCGTTGTCAGCGAACATCACGCGCTGGCCCACCGCAAAGCGAGGCTCCAGGAGGCCAGCGCCCGGCGCCGCCCGCACGACGCCCCCGTGGTCGGCGAGGCCAGCCGGCGTGTCCAGCGCGATCGGCTCGAACTGGGGCGCGGGCGAGCCGACCTGAGCCAGACCCTGCGCTGGCGCGTGGGTCAGGCCCGCCGCCTTCTCTGCCGTGCCCTCCTCGTCCCCCTCGACGATGCTGGCCATCATCGGAGTCGGGAGCGCCCCGGCCTTGACGTCGATGACACTGATCTGCTCCATGTACACCTTGGCCAGCTGCGGCATGCCCTGCTGGAGGCACAGCCTCGCCAGGTCCAGCGCCAGCAGGTCGGAGTCCAATGCGGGGGCGCCGAGTCCGCACTCGTCGGCGCCACCGCCGGCCTCAGCCTGCCCCACCGGGCCGGCGTCGCCCTCCACGGCCTCCACGTGCACGAACTCGAAGCTCTCCGAGATCCCCTGGGGCTGCACCTGCGCGCGGGCAGACCCGCGCGCGACGCGCAGGCGGCGATCGGAGCGGCGAGCGCGGGAAGCGCAATGGTCTGGGGGGGCCTTACGCCCAGACGTCCGACGATCTGGCTTGCTGTCCGCAGCCCAACAGGTCTCGCCACCGCTTCTGGGGCAACCCCAAAATATACAAATGCCGTTACTCCATGGACCTCTCCCAGGGTGCGTTCGGACCAGGATTTCGCGGCGAATCCAGCGGTGGCGGCGCGGGCCTTCCAGAGAAGAACACAGAACGGCAGAAACATCAAACTTTTGGCGCTCCGAGCGGATTTCTTGAATCCTGGACCCCCCTCCCTGGCGCGCTCCGCGCGCCAGGGGCGGCGCCCGAGGCGCCGCCAAGGGGGCACCAGCGCGGATCCAAGAGGTCCGCGCGGAGCGCCAATAATTTATGTTCATGGCGAACACGAGCCGAGGGCAGCGGCGTATAGGTTACATGACTTCCTCCTCCGATTTGGACGCCCGGGAAGGGTACGGAAGAATGGGTACAATGCCCAACAACAGATGTTGCCCCAGATCAACAGCGGCCGCTGTTGGGCAGGCGGCTTTCTGTCTTAAGTGGACACAGGCCGCGGCGGAACGAACAGCGAGTCCTTTTCAAAATGTACAGCAACTGCTGTTGGGCATTGTTGAGGAGGCCCTGGAACACACAAATAAATACACACAAATAAGAATATTCCCTATAGGTTCTTATATTTTCTTGGTTTTTGTCTTCCCCCCACTTCCCATATTTTCCCATATTCTCTTGGGAATCGACGACCATTTGTATCTGTGTGTTCCTTTCCCTCCTGAATTGTACCCCTTCTTTCCGTGCACATCTCGTTCGTGCCGATCCGAGCTTCCCCGGGGCCAGTGCGTCGCCCCGGGTTCCTCATTCTTCAAGGGCTCCTAAATTCGCGCTTCGCGCTGCGCGAAGCGCGGACAACTTCGCGCTCTCGCGCCGCCCCCAAAGGGGAGAAGAGGAGGACGAGGAGGAGGGGGAGGAGGAATGAGGCCCGCGAAGCGCGACTAATTTCGCGCCCTCGTGGGAGCCCTTGTTCTTGAGCGCCCTGATAGGCCAGGACGAGCGGCGCCCCCGAGGGCCGAAGAGGAGCCGAGAGACAGAGCCGCCAGCTGGGCAAATCCCAGCTCGTCGGAGGCGGGAGGGTCATGGATATTCTCGTCGTCGTCGTCGTTCTCCTCCTCCTCCTCCTCCTCCTCCTCCTCCTCCTCTTTCTAAGTCCTACTCCCCCTCCTCCTCCTCCTCCTCCTCCTCCTCCTCCTCCTGCTCTTCCTCCTTCTACTGCTCCTCCTCCTCCTCCTCCTCCCCCTCCTCCTCCTCATCCTCCTCCTCATCCTCCTCCTTCCACCCTCATGCCTCCACCCCTCCCATTGCCACTTTTCATCCTCTTCAGGATCCTCCTCCACCTCCCTATCGCTTTGCTCCTCCTCCCTCCTCATGCTCCTCGTCAGACCCCTATCCCCGTCCATCGCCTCCTCCACCTCCTCTCCCCCCTCAGAGATCAGCCCTTGGACCTGTCCCAGGGTGCGCTCCCAGCAGGCCTTCGGAGCGTCTCCTGCTGTAACATCGAGCAGCCTCCCTGACGACCCGGCTGGGCGCCTGGCCGCAGCCGGAACGCGCCCCTCCCTCCCCCCCCCCCGGAAAGCGCAGACCACAGCACCCGCAGCATGCTGGGAGTCGACCGGAGCTCTCGCCATCTCTCGGACGTCCATTCCGTGTGCTTTTTTCGGTTTCGTGCGTGGTTTTTTCGCCAAATGATCAAGGATGCTCCTCGATGGTCCTCGCCGAAGGAAAAATGCCTACGTCCGAGCGATGCCGAGAGCTTCGACGAGGGGCCCACGATCTTCGGCTTTCTTGCATCGCACGCCCCAGCATCCGCACGGGGGGACCCAGCGGTCAGGAGCCCGTCCGGAGCAGAAGCGATCGGGAATCGGGGTGTCGCCTCGCTCCCGCCGATGCTATTCTGTCGGGCGTGTCCCCCTACAGGGGGATTTTCAACGAAAAATTAAACATACACCAAAAATGCCCCAGAAAGGCAAAAAAATACGCAAAAAATTGTGCCCAGGCTATTTTTGGATTATTTTTTGATTATTTTTGGTGTATGTTCTATTTTTCGTCGAAAATCCCCCTGTAGGGGGACAGGCCCGACTTAACGATACTGCGACGGTCGGGAGCTTTTGCTCAGCGTGTCGCGGCGGCGGCCCCAGCGACACGCCGTGCCCTGCAGGCGGCTGACGTGCCGTGCCGCTCCGCGGGGCGGGGGGCTGAGAAAAACTCGGCACGTGGGCGCCTGGGGACCGCGGAGTCAATAGCGTGCCGCGCCGCAGCGTGGTGAGTTAGAACCGGCAGAGCGACGCGCTAAGCGTAAGTCGGGCCTGTCCCCCTACAGGGGAATTTTCAACGAAAAATCAGAAATACCCCCAAAAATATCCAAAAATGCTATGGGGACCATTTTTTGAATTCCCCACATGCTTCGTGGGGTTCTGGTTTTCTTCCCTGCCGCGCCGCACGCGCGACACACACCTCACTCTTCGTACAGCACAGCTCAGCTCAGCACAGCACAGCACAACACAGCACAGCACAGCACAGCTCAGCACAGCACACAGCTCAGCTCAGCACGCAGCATAGCTCAGCACAGCTCAGCACAGCCCAGCACGGCTCAGCTCAGCGCGGCACAGCACAGCTCGTGGCACTTTCTCGACACCACAGGGGGTGCGCAGGGGTTGGTCTCTCAGCTCGGCCGCTATCCACGACACTGGCGCAAATCCTAGCAGGCGTGGCACTCTCTCGACACCACAGGGGGCTCGGGCAGGGGCGTAGCAGGCGTGGCACTTTCTCGACACCACAGGGGGTGCGCAGGGGGTGGTCTCTCAGCTCGGCCGCTATCCACGACACTGGCGCAAAGCCTAGCAGGCGTGGCACTTTCTCGACACCACAGGGGGTGCGCAGGGGGTGGTCTCTCAGCGGCCGCTATCCACGACACTGGCGCAAAGCCTAGCAGGCGTGGCACTTTCTCGACACCACAGGGGGTGCGCAGGGGGTGGTCTCTCACTCGGCGCTATCCACGACACTGGCAAAGCCTAGCAGGCGCGCAGGGGGTGGTCTCCCAGCTCGATCCACGACACTGGCGCAAAGCCTAGCAGGCGTGGCACTTTCTCGACACCACAGGGTGGCAAGGGGCGCTCGGACACTGCGCAAAGCCTAGCAGGCGTGGTTTCTCGACACCAGAGGTGCGCAGGGGGTGGTCTCTCAGCTCGGCCGCTATCCACGACACTGGCGCAAAGCCTAGCAGGCGTGGCACTTTCTCGACACCACAGGGGGTGCGCAGGGGGTGGTCTCTCAGCTCGGTCGCTATCCACGACACTGGCGCAAAGCCTAGCAGGCGTGGCACTTTCTCGACACCACAGGGGGTGCGCAGGGGGTGGTCTCTCAGCTCGGCCGCTATCCACGACACTGGCGCAAAGCCTAGCAGGCGTGGCACTTTCTCGACACCACAGGGGGTGCGCAGGGGGTGGTCTCTCAGCTCGGCCGCTATCCACGACACTGGCGCAAAGCCTAGCAGGCGTGGCACTTTCTCGACACCACAGGGGGTGCGCAAGGGGTGGTCTCTCAGCTCGGCCGCTATCCACGACACTGGCGCAAAGGCTAGCAAGCGTGGCACTTTCTCGACACCACGGGGGTGCGCAGGGGGTGGTCTCTCACCGCGGTCCCTATCCACGACACTGGCGCAAAGCCAAGCAGGCGTGGCACTTTCTCGACACCAAAGGGGGTGGGCAGGGGGTGGTCTCCCAGCTCGGTCGCTATCCACGACACTGGCGCAAAGCCTAGCAGGCGTGGCACTTTCTCGACACCACAGGGGGTGCGCAGGGGGTGGTCTCTCAGCTCGGCCGCTATCCACGACACTGGCGCAAAGCCTAGCAGGCGTGGCACTCTCTCGACACCACAGGGGGTGCGCAGGGGGTGGTCTCTCAGCTCGGCCGCTATCCACGACACTGGCGCAACGCCTAGCAGGCGTAGCACTTTCTCGACACCACACGGGTGCGCAGGGGGTGGTCTCCCAGCTCGGTCGCTATCCACGACACTGGCGCAAAGGCTAGCAGGAGTGGCACTTTCGCGACACCACAGGGGTGCGCAGGGGTGGTCTCTCAGCTCGGCAGCTATCCACGACACTGGCGCAAAGCCTAGCAAGCGTGGCACTTTCTCGACACCACACGGGGTGCGCAGGGGGTGGTCTCTCAGCTCGGCCGCTATCCACGACACTGGCGCAAACCTAGCAAGCGTGGCACTTTCTCGGCACCACAGGGGGTGCGCAGGGGGTGGTCTCTCAGCTCGGTCGCTATCCACGACACTGTCGCAAAGCCAAGCAGGCGTTGCACTTTCTCGACACCACAGGGGGTGGGCAGGGGGTGGTCTCTCAGCGGGGCCGCTATCCACGACACTTGCGCAAAGCCTAGCAGGCGTGGCACTTCGCGACACCACAGGGGGTGAGGGTCAGCTCGGCGCTATCCACGACACTGGCGCAAAGCCTAGCAGGCGTGGCACTTTCTCGACACCACAGGGGTGCGCAGGGGGTGGTCTCTCAGCTCGGCCGCTATCCACTACACTGGCGCAAAGCCTAGCAGGCGTGGCACTTTCTCGACACCACAGGGGGTGCGCAGGGGGTGGTCTCTCAGCTCGGCCGCTATCCACGACACTGGCGCAAAGCCTAGCAGGCGTGGCACTTTCGCGACACCACAGGGGGAGCGCAGGGGGTGGTCTCTCAGCTCGGCCGCTATCCACGACACTGGCGCAAAGCCTAGCAGGCGTGGCACTTTCTCGACACCACAGGGGGTGCGCAGGGGGTGGTCTCTCAGCTCGGCCGCTATCCACGACACTGGCGCAAAGCCCTAGCAGGCGTGGCACTCCTTTCTCGACACCACAGGGGGTGCGCAGGGGGTGGTCTCTCAGCTCGGCCGCCATCCACGACACTGGCGCAAAGCTAGCAGGCGTGGCACTTTCTCGACACCACAGGGGGTGGGCAGGGGGTGGTCTCTCAGCTCGGCCGCTATCCACGACACTGGCGCAAAGGCCTAGCAGGCGTGGCACTTTCTCGACACCACAGGGGGTGCGGAGGGGGTGGTCTCTCAGCTCGGCCGCTATCCACGACACTGGCGCAAAGCCTAGCAAGCGTGGCACTTTCTCGACACCACAGGGGGTGGGCAGGGGGTGGTCTCTCAGCTCGGCCGCTATCCCACGACACTGGCGCAAAGCCTAGCAGGCGTGGCACTTTCTCGACACCACAGGGGGTGCGCAGGGGGTGGTCTCTCAGCTCGGCCGCTATCCACGACACTGGCGCAAAGCCTAGCAGGCGTGGCACTTTCTCGACACCACAGGGGGTGCGCAGGGGGTGGTCTCTCAGCTCGGCCGCCACGACACTGGCGCAAACCTAGCAAGCGTGGCACTTCACGACACCAAAGGGGGTGGCAGGGGGTGGTCTCTCAACCGGCCGCTATCCACGACACTAGCAGGCTTTTCACACCATGCGTGGCACCCAGCTCGCCGCTATCCACGACACTGGCGCAAAGCCTAGCAGGCGTGGCACTTTCTCGACACCACAGGGGGTGCGCAGGGGGTGGTCTCTCAGCTCGGCCGCTATCCACGACACTGGCGCAAAGCCTAGCAGCGTGGCACTTTCTCGACACCACAGGGGGTGCGCAGGGGGTGGTCTCTCAGCTCGGCCGCTATCCACGACACTGGCGCAAAGCCTAGCAGGCGTGGCACTTTCTCGACACCACACGAGGTGCGCAGGGGGTGGTCTCTCAGCTCGGCCGCTATCCACGACACTGGCGCAAAGCCTAGCAGGCGTGGCACTTTCTCGACACCACAGGGGGTGCGCAGGGGGTGGTCTCTCAGCTCGGCCGCTATCCACGACACTGGCGCAAAGCCTAGCAGGCGTGGCACTTTCTCGACACCACAGGGGGTGCGCAGGGGGTGGTCTCTCAGCTCGGCCGCTATCCACGACACTGGCGCAAAGCCTAGCAGGCGTAGCACTTTCTCGACACCACAGGGGGTGCGCAGGGTGGTCTCTCAGCTCGGACACTATCCACGACACTGTCGCAAAGGCTAGCAGGCGTGGCACTTTCTCGACACCACAGGGGGTGCGCAGGGGGTGGTCTCTCAGTTCGGCCGCTGTCCACGACACTGGCGCAAAGCCTAACAGGCGTGGCACTTTCTCGACACCAAAGGGGGTGGGCGGGGGGGGGGTCTCTCAGCTCGGCCGCTATCCACGACACTGGCGCAAAGCCTAGCAGGCGTGGCACTTTCTCGACTCCACAGGGGGTGCGCAGGGGGTGGTCTCTCAGCTCGGGCCGCTATCCACGACACTGGCGCAAAGGCGTTGGATGACACATATCGCGACGAGGGCCCAAACGCACATGAAAAACATAAGATTAGTAAAAACAAAAACACAAAAAAACAAAACGCTGAAAAGAAAGGATTGTGCATATATATATATATATATATATATACATAAGCAAACACATAATATTTAAATTAAGCATGTGGGGTTCCTCGGTAGCGTAATTGTTTTTACCTTTCTAGGGCATGTTTGGAATATGTTTGACTTTTCAAGTCGAAAATCCCATTGTAAGGGGGACACGCCCGACATAACGCTAAGCCAAAATTCCCGTCCGTGGCGATGGGGGAGGCCGTCCGCAGCGAAGGGTCGGAAGAGGCAAAGAAACCGATCATTACCGCTACCCTCCGCCGGTGGTCCCCTTCGTCGGCCTCTCCAGGGAGGCCCTCGTCGCCACCGCTGGATTCGCCTCGAAGTCCTGGTCAGAACGCACCCCGGAAGAGGTCCAGGAACTACAGTCGGCCCGTATCATAAAGGATACGCGAGATGAGGATGCAAGGGCCTTGGCAGGCCATCTCGAAGCTTTCCGAGCGGGGGCGCGGCCAACGAGAATGGCTCGGGATGGACCGAGGAGACAAGGATGCGAGGGTACCCTTGGGAAGGTTGCCCATCCTTACTATGCGGGTTGACTGTAGCGGTATCGGCCCAGCCATGCGACGTCCAGATGTTTTCAATACGGGGTCCCTGGAAGTCCCGACCCTTTCCCTGGGACCGGTTTTTCATCCTGAAACGTTTTGTTGACGTTCCCGAGGCCCGGCGAGGGCCCCCCGAGGCCGAACTTGGCAAACAACCTCCCGTCCTGATCTCTTCAACGACGCGATCATGTCTGGGGAAGCCTGTTGGTTCCCCCAAGGATTTGGACGCCGGACATGGGTACGGAAAGAATGGGCACAATGCCCAACAACAAATGTTGTCCCAAACCAACAGCGGCCGCTGTTGGGCAGGCGGCCTTCTGTCTTGAGTGCACACAGGCCGCGGCGGCGCGGACAGCGAGTCCTGCTCAAAATGAACAAGATCCGCTGTTGGGCATTGTGCCCATTCTTTCCGTGCCCATTTCGTTCGTGCAGAAAGGAGGAGGATGGACCGAGGAGGCAAGGATGCGAGGGTACCCTTGGGAAGGTTGCCCCTCCTTACTATGCGGGTTGACTGTAGCGGTATCGGAGGCCCGGCGAGGGCCCCCCGAGGCCGAACTTGGCAAAAAACCTCCCGTCCTGATCTCTTCAACGACGCGATCATGTCTGGGGAAGTCTGTTGGTTCCCCCAAGGATCTGGACGCCCGAAATGGGAAGGAAAGAATGGGCACAATGCTCAACAACAAATGTTGTCCCAAACCAACAGCGGCCGCTGCTGGGCAGGCGGCCTTCTGTCTTGAGTGCACACAGGCCGCGGCGGCGCGGACAGCGAGTCCTGTCCAAAATGGACAAGATCCGCTGTTGGGCGTTGTACCCATTCTTTCCGTGCCCATTTCGTTCGTGCAGCAACAGGAAGGGGAGGAGGAGGAGGAGGAGGAGGAGGAGGAGGAGGAGGATGAGGAAGGAGGAGGGAGGAGGAAGGGTGGAGGAAGGGAGGGAGGGGAAGGAGGAGGAGCAGGATGATCAGTGTAAGGAGGAGGAGGTAGGAGAGGGAGGGCAAGGAGGAGAGGAGGAGAATAAAGATGTGAAAAGGAAGGAGGGAGGGAGAAGTATAAGGAGAGGAGAAGGACGGAAATGGAGGCAAAATTTTAGTAGAGGCGGGCGTAGAGGATGAAACAGTTATAATCCGTTCTTCGGTTCATTTTTCCAGCTGAGCGTGCCAACACCGAAGCGTTTGTCGCGCCTGCAGCGCACCACGCAGTTCCACTACCCCGGCCAGTCGGGCCGTACCACTGTTAATGCCAACTCGTGACTGCCTTCCCCGGGGCGGAAGCCGCGCGCCCGCTACGGGTACGGTCGGCGAGCGGGTCAACCCGGCGGGGCAGGCACGAAGGATGACGACGACGACTAGGACTAGGACGACGACGAAGGACGACGGGAGGGCGCGGACTACGACGGCGGCGCGGCGATGAACGAGTACTAGGACGTCATGTGCGAGGACTAAAAGGACGCGCCCCCCCCCCCCCCTCCACCCGCAAAACTGGACGGGGCCTGCCCCAGTCCGAACCGCGACGGGGCCCGCTAGGGTTCGCGGTGGGGACGTGCCCATCGTTGCGGGGGGCGGGCGTGACGTCCAGCACCTCTGAGGGGGAACGCGGGAGCTGGCTCCTCCACTTCGGACTCAGACTCGTACTCCTCCTCTTCCTCCTCCTCCTCCTCCTCCTCCTGCAGCTAAACCTCCCCCTCCCAGACCCTCAAGCAACTTGGGCTCGAGCACCGTTGTGGCAACTCGACTCCAAATACCCGCGCCTCCCCGTGGTGCCTGGGGGGCAGCGCACTTCCCGTCCATTCTATCTTCGAATGGGCAGCTGTGCTGGCGAAAGCGGGTCCCTGCTCACGATCATCTATGGAGGGGCCGTGGAGCACGTGCGCAGGATGCCGGACTTCCGAGCATGATCGTAAGACCCAGAGTAACTCGGGCACGTGCGGCCAATGTGCCAGACCCGTGAGGCTGCACAGGCCGGGGCCGACGAGCCAAGGCGGAGGCCATCTGCAATGGCCTGACCTGCAGAACGCTCCCAAGGGAGGAGCTCACCAGCAGGACGTAGCCAGCACCGTGCAGGCGCTCGCGTCCGCCATGGCGCTGCTCCCTGGCCCGACAAGCAAGCATGATGCAAGTGTTTATACCCCCATCCCTATCCCTATAGAAAATAGCATTGCCAGTTCTGTTCGGGCAGGAAGCATGCCCGCGCAAGACGCACGAACGCGATTCATCGCAGGCCCACCCCATCACCAGGACGAGCGACAACATGTGCAGTCTGATGATGAGGCATTCCGCGCCGCTGTCGTGGACATGAACGGAATTATGTGACATTGCGCCGCGACCTTGCGGCCTTGGCGCAGCAGATTGCGGCCACACGGAGGGCGCTGGCGGCCAAGCCAGCAGCTCCCGGAAGTGCCGGCAGCAGAGGCAGTGCGCCGCGCCGAGGGCGCCTGGCGCGACGCCTCGCCGGAGCACTCCTGGGCTGCTGCTCGGGCATCCAGGCGCCAAGAGAACCTGCAGACGGCTGTGGCCAAGGAACAAGAGGAGGAGGAGGAGGAGGAGGAGGAGGAGGAGGAGGAGGAGGAGGAGGTGGAGGAGGAGGAGGAGGTGGAGGAGAAGGAGGAGAAGGAGGCGACACGCGCTCGCAATCGCCGCGATCAACAAACGCACGACGGCGGTGGCGCTGGCGCGCGCGGCGGACCTCGTCACGGCCAGCGGCGTCATCGATCCCAGTGGCAGTCCCGCAGCCGCAACTGGTGCCAACTCGGGCGCCTCTCCTGAGGAGCCGATGATGAACGTCACCTGGGGTGAGGCCTTGTCAAGCAGCTGGACACGCTTGACTGCACCCCGCAGTAGCGCGCCGAACTGAAGGTAGTCGAGAGGGAGCTGCTGGGGGTCAAGGAGAGTGTCATCACCACGGCCGAGCAGGTGGCCAAGTGGCGAGCGAACGTCCTGGCCCTCAGGCAGAAAGTCCAGGATTAACCCATTAAGAAGCACAAGACTGACGGCGGGGAGTGCGCGGTCAACACGGATGGCGATGCGCCCATGGACGCCAAGCATTAGCTTCGGATTCAACGTTGTCAGCCTCAGCGGGCACTGCAGTCGCACAGGCAGAAGGGGCAGCCCGCCGCGGAGGCGATCCAACAGGAGATGGAGCGCATCCGTCAAGCGGCAGCCCTATCCAGCGGCAGCTGCTGTCACCCAGTCGCCTGCGCCGCCAGTTGAGTTTGCCCATCCTGCTGAAGATGAGGAAAAGTCGGTTCGCATGTTTTTCAGCAACATCACAACCCTTGGCAATACATCCTGGGATTATCTGAGCAAGGAGCGCCCCCCCCCCACCCACCCACAAAGCATGCGTGCTTAGGCGTGGTGAAATCGCACATCGGAACACACTCGAAGGGAAAGCGGGCTCGGAGGGCACGCACTTTGAAGCTCAAGGTCTTCATCAGCAATGCGAGTGCTACGGGCAGATCGACCTCGGAGGCGACGGTGGAGCGTGCCTACGAGGGGGGGAGGTCATGCTCACTCGAAGGCATCATGCAGCACATCGCGTTTTTGACAACCCTCGAGAAGGGGCCAGCAGTCACTGCGCCGAAGGCTCAGAGGCGCTCGTCGGCGTCCTGCCAACAATGGTGCACATGAATGGGTTCCCGTTGATTGTGATACTGTGTCATGCACATCCCTCGATTGGATTTTCAGGCTCCAGCGCTCAATGGCGTTCCAGGTTAGGCGCTGTCTTCCTGCTCGTGAAAGTGTCTTGGCTGGTGATTGACGGGTATAAGATCTGCGTCGAAGCCGACAAGAAATCAGCTTTCTGCCGCCATGTCGGAGGCGTCATTCGCCGGGCCGGTGTTGAGCACGAGTGCCATGGATTTCGTCATAGCATCTGAGAGTTGCATCATATACATGTTGGACGCTCGTGCAGTAATCGGCACCTTGGGCACCTCAAGTAGGACTTGAATTGCGATTGAGGAGCTCTGGAGAGCAGCTTCTCATGCGATCTCTGCCGCAAGTGCCTCGGTCGTCTGCGTCGGCCACTGCTGGGCCCAAATCGAGTGCTACAAGTCTCGAGCTGGCCGAGCGAGCTGAGAAGAAAAGAATGCGTCTTGCTGGTGAGTGTGACAAGACTATTCGGATATATTTTGCCCAGCGGGTCCCGTCCCGATCCTGTCGACCCTGGAGCTCTCGATCCCTGCTCGGGTGATTCGCCGCAAGTCGATGGGGGCTCTGGTGCCGAGGACGGTGCTGTGTTTTTTTGAGGACGAGGAAGAACACCCCTGGTCCGACGAGTCCTCGTTTCACCCGATGCCCCGTGCTGAGTCCAATGAGAAAGAACGTCCCGCCCAGAGGGGCCTCTGCCAGCAACTCGGAGGGTAATGAAGTCCCCCCCCTAGCCAAGCATCCTCGGAAAGGGGGGGCAACTGATCTCACCCCTGCCGATGCCACTGCCCCTTCTGCTCCTCTCCCCACTTTAGCTATTCCCTCCTCCGCGTGGGTATCCATTTTGGCTCGAGCCCCCTGGCTTCCGCGCGTTCTTCGCGACGTTCGGCATCCGATTACTCAGTCGGTCGCTTTCCAGGCGGGCGCACATCATATTCTTCCTATCAGTGGAGCTTTCGCGAGGTGGCTCGCTGCCGCTGAGATTGACAGATCGAGTCGTCACAACCTGAGCGCGACTGAGCGTTCAAGGGGGGGGGAGGGCACTGGCCGCGAGTTGGCGATCATACCAGTCCAACAAGCTGAACACTTCCAGCAAGAGCCGTTGAGGGGCGGCATCTCTCCCTGGCGGGCGCGAGTGCACAACGCGGCGCAGAGGGTCCTGAAGCATAAGAGGCGCAACAACGGCAAGGCGCATCTCGGACACTTGTCAGCTGGTCGACGGGGCAGGTGCTGCATACCCAGCCAGCGCGGGTTCGTGGGACGCTCTGTTGTCCGATCTTCGCCGCGATATCGAGCTTTCGGTGGATGCTTAGTTTTTTCTCGAGGACAAGGCGCTCAGGGCTTGCAAGAGGGCTCACAACAAAGCTGCGCATGCCTCGCTTCGCGATTTTAACGTGGTTCTGTGGTTTGGATTCGCGGGGGGTCGCTCACAAGTCCTTGCAGGACCCGCATCCCGAGCGAGACGAGCTCCGCGGTGCTGATGGCTCGGTGCTTGCTCCTCCGGAGGATCTCGTGGTCAGCAAGGTTGCGCGGTATCGCGGTCTCTGGAGTTCAGAAGTGGCGTCGCAGAGCGGAGTACTGACGCGGTGGAAAACATCCGCGCGCGCGCGGAGATGGAGCAGCCGGCGCCGCTGTGTGTGCGGCCGGCGCGCGGGCTGCAGTGGGCGGCGCGAAGGCCAGGGCGGGCCCGGGCATGGACAGGCTGTCGCCGAAGGACGCAGAGCGCTTGTCTGACGAGGACATAGACCGCTGCTCTGTGACCACCTTCACATGATAGGAGAAGGGCCCTCGTGGCCTCTGCAGGTTTCGTGCGCGGTTGGCAAGCCTCTCGGCATGAAGTCGGGCGGCGACCGCGTCATAGGCCTGATCACCACGCTGTGCCGAGTGCGGTCGATGGCGCGGGAGGTGCAGATGAAGGAATGGTCTTTGGCGCAGGCCGAGCCTGATCATTGGGGCGAGGCCATCGCGGGGAGCAGCGCCCTAAGTGAGGCTTTCGCCAGGGCGCTTCAGAACGAAAACCAGGCGCGTCTGGGTATCCCGCGCGGTCAGTCAGTACTTGAGATTTCATCACTTTACGCCTCCATTGAATGGGAACATCTGTCACGGTGCGCCTTGAAGGAGGGTTCCCAGCGGTCATATTGAATTTGGGACTTCAGAAACGTTTATCACCACGTATCAATGAGCAGCTCGAATCTTTCAGCGTGCCATTCCAGATGATGCGCTCGGTGGTGCAAGGGCTCAGGGACGGCACGCGGTTCGCCAAGTGCCTCGCGGCATTCGTATGCCAGCGTCTCTGCGAGGCCCACGTCTCGTTGAGCGCGAGACCCTGGATCGGCGACCTCTCATATCGGGTCGCAGGGTCGAGGAAGCACGTGCGCACCACGCTCATCAAAGGTGTGCTGCCGACGGTCACGCTCTCTTTGAAGCTGCAGCTGGGGGTCGCCGACAGAAGCGTGGTGGTATGCTCGCAGCACGCAGGCGCTCTGGTGGTGGAGCGCTTCCTGAGGAGGAGGGGCGTGGCGCTGCGGGCGGTGCTGCAGACGGCCTATCTTGGCGTCGGCTTGCCGGGGGGCAGGCGGCAGGGCCGTGCCGCCCACCGTCGGGCAGCGTGCGCTCCGGCCGAGCCAGGCGCACGGGCGACTGCGGCAGTTCGCTCGCGCTGCCAGGCGGTGGGCTGCCCCTGCCAGGATCCAGCGCGCTGGCCCGTCAGCACCAGCGGTGTGCGGTCACCACGTGCACGGCCAGAGGCCCAGGGGCGACGCTGCGGCGATGCTGGTTCAGAGGTGACGTCCCGGAGCGGCGAAAGAGGCATCAAAGCGCGGCCGGTGCCTCACGACGCTGCTCGCGCTGAGGCTGCCAGGTCGCGATCCTGGGGTCTTGCTGCCGCGCACATGTGTTTCTCAATGGCTGGATGCTTGGCGTTCGCATGCTGAACTTCGGCCCTCTATCATCTGTGCTTGGCCTAAGGCGGTGGCGCGCATGTTGAGCCTTCCCGCTAGGCGTAGAGTTCGTCACGTTCGCGGACCTCTGACTACAGTCATATTGTATCTTCTGGAGGCTGGATGGTCAGTTGTTTCGCCCACCGAGTGGGAAGTGCCGCATGATGGCTCATCGATGGCACATACCTGGCAGTTCCAAGTCCGTGACTTCGAGGCGCTGGATCAGGCAGGCCCACTTTTGAACTCACTTCAGCAAGCCTTCAAGCTGAAACAATGGCGCGCGGCCGCTGACTTGTTCTGCGGCGGCGGTCTCGAGAACCGCGTGGGCACAGGCCCCCTGAGATCCGTTGTGAGCGACCTCCTCTGCGTCAGGAAGGGGAGGGAACTGTACGAGCTGCTCGTCTCCATCGCGACGGGCAGCCACTGAACTCGTGAGCGGAGTAAACGGTCAGGCCTGTGCGATGCAAATCTCTGTTCGGGATGTGGACAGGATAGAGATACTCCGTTACATCGCTGCTGGACATGTGAGGCTAACGCCAGCTCCTCGTCCAAAGCTTACTTTGATTCGAATGATCTTCTGCCTCAGGCCATCCCTCAGTCTAATACGTTTACTTGTATCTGGATGCGGGGCCTGATCCCCGCTCCTTGGACCCAGGTTCCCTCCCACCCCTCCCGCTCATGAGTCACTGGTAGATGGCAAGATCATCGGCGGAAGTCTTGGAGATGCGTGTCTCGGGAATCGGTTCCAGGAGGCTCCGTTAGTGGTGTTCGGAGATGCTTCAGGAGGCCGAGACACCCATGGCTCTAGATTGGCGTAGGGTGCCGCGCTCGAGCGTCCCCCAGGGCAGTCGTCACCGGGTCCTGTCCATTGAACACAAAGCAATGCTCGGGCTTCCCAAGTATCGGGAGAGGCCGTGGCCATACCTCCCCCTGGTCACTCGCCTCCGCCTCTCCCTCATCTTCTCGCTGTTGCACGCTTCGCGTCTCAGCTCTCCTTGACCGAAAGTGGTAAGGCGCGTACAGTGTGCAAGAGATCGGCGACAAGAGCGGCATTGTCTGGATGGTTAAAAACCATGTGCTTCCAACTCGAGCAGATCGTGTGCTGGCCAGTGTTCCGAGAGGGCGGCCTTCACACTTAGCTGTGGATTGGACCCATATATCATTAAAACAACCTTCAGTTGTGGTATTCCGACGCGTGCGACTAGTTGGGCCAGGCCCAGCTCAGGGGGCTATAAAAGCTGTGCGCACTCCCACTTGCGAAGACTAGGCGAGAATACCTTGACAGCAGCAATCGCGGCCTGTTTCCTAAGCGCTGAGCTTTAAGCCTGGTGTCATCACTACGCGATGGCGGAATCCCCGGAATCCTTCTCCTGGGACTCCCCCCTTTATCTCATGCTCCCTCCTCCTCCTCCTCCTCCTTCTCCTCCTCCTCCTCCTCCTCCTCCTCCTTCCCCGAGGGGGCCCCTCCCGTAGGGGAGGGGTCGGGACCCCAGGGTCCTCCTGGCGCAGGCGGGGAGCGCCGGGCCCGAGGGGCGAAAATCCCCCGCACCCCGGGGGACGCCGCCAAAGTGCGGTTTCCTTCCCCCGGGGGGGTCGCCAGGCCCCGTGTGCTCCCCCAGGGCGGTGCTGGGTCCCCCCCAGCACTCGCCGCCCTGGGGCGGGGCTGGCGGCTCGTCTCCGTCGTGTCGCTCGTCCGTCTCGTGTCGTTCGTGTCGCGTCGTTCGTTTCGTCCCCCTGTCGTGTCGCGTCGTGTCGTGGTCCCGGGGCCGTTAAACGCGGCCACCCATGGAGTGGGTGGTGGGTAGGGTTGGCGCTGAGCACGGCTCGCGCCCCCACCCCGACCAGGGAGCGCGGAGCACGGTCTCCCAGCGCTCCCTGGTCGCGCTTAGGTCGCGCCACGGGGGCATGGCCCCGTCGGTGGCGCGGCCTGCGCCGTTTTTGGTGCATCTCGCTGGCACTCGCCACGCCAGCGGAGTCATGTGGCTGTTCATGGGTTGACCATAAAAAAATCCTCCTCCTCCTCCTCCTCCTCCTCCTCTCCCTCCGCCTCCTCCTCCTCCCCCTCCGCCTGCCTCCTCCTCCTCCTCCTCTTCCTCCTCCTTCCTCCTCCTCCCTCCTCCTCTTCTCCTATTCCTCCACCTCCTCCTCCTCTGAAGCATCGTTCCCAAGGATGTGGGCGGGACGGCTCAGGGGGTGGTGGGGGGTGAGGGGGGGGGGGGGGGGGGGGGGGGCGAACCATCGAGCTGGAATCGGCCGATACGTCGGGCGATGCATGGCCGACGATCGGCGATAGGCCCCCGATGGCAAATGTCCGCACACTCGTGGGCAGGGTGGGCTGCGGCTATCGGACCCCCCATCGGCGACCAGTGGCCGACTGGGGTAGAGGGATGAAAATCCACCCCCCCGATAATAACCACCCCGACACGCGAGGCCGTCTAGTAAACGCACCCAAAGAAGGAATCAAACAGGGCAGGGCTCTTTAGTAGTCGCCCAGGGCCGTGAGTAAACGCCAATTGTCTGGTCTGGGTGGTTGTTCCTCCCTTGATGGGGGTCGATGCATTCCCCCCCCCACCCCTGAGCCTATCATCCCTTCAACCCCTGAGGTAACACGAAGCCAAGACGAGGATAAAATCAGGTGAGGTCAGATCGAGAATCTCTGAGATCCGGCGGCTCTGGAGCATGTATCGAGCGCCGCGGCCTTCTCGGAGCGTCCCGGAACGCGCTAAGAGCGTCCCGGAACGCTCTGGAACGGATTTCTCCTCGTCCTGGCCGGCCCCCGCCCGACGAGGACCTCCCTCCGCCAGTCGAAGGTGCTCTCCGGGACGTCGGCCATGTCGCTCTTCCGCCTTGCCGGGGCGCTCGCCCCCCCCCCCCAAAAGAAGGGTGGCCGCGGTCCCCCGCGAGGCGGGGGCCGGAGGGCCCGATGCGAGCAGGGCCTCCCGCCCGGAGGCCCCGCGGAGGCAGGGCGCGGGCGACCGAGGACCTCCGCTGCCCCGATGCGCGACACGCAGCACGCAGCGTGCCGGCACGGAGTTCACGACACGCAGATGGAGCTCGCAGGTTTGGCGCGGTGCGCTGGCCAGAACGTGGGCCTCAACTGCCCCGATGCGCAACACGCAGCACGCAGCGTGCCGGCACGGAGTGCACAACACGCAGATGGAACACGTAGGTTTGGCGCGAGGCGTTCGCCAGAACGTGGGCCGACACGTGGAGCCAACACGCAGCGTGTCGACACGGACGTCCTGGGCACGGCGCGCGTTGCGCTTCATAACGGGCGTATCGGGGCAGCGAGATCGGAGGGCCCGCGTGTGCGCCAGGAGGAGATGCCGCCATGTTTTGCACAGGGCTGGACCTCAACGGTGTTATTCCTTTTGTTTGCGCTTTGCGTTTCGTTTTGCTCTACCTGTCTTCCTGCGCCCCCTTCCAAAACGCAAAACAACACACAACCGAAGTCCAACAAAACAGCGTTTAGGTCCAGCCCTGGTTGTGCATCCAAGGGTTCTTCAAGCACGCGCTGACATGGATTACAGATCCGTGAACCCTGGCGCGTGGGCGCGTGTGGGGAAATCAAGAGGCACCGACACCGCTGCTCCCCGGACCTCTCCCGGGGTGCGTTCTGACTAGAACTTCGAGGCGAATCCAGCGGTGGCGACGAGGGCCTCCCAGGAGGCCCAGGAAGGGGGAAACGGGCGAGGGCCTCCCAGGAGGCCCAGAAAGGGGAAACGGGCGAAGGATAGAGGTATGGGTACCTTTTTCGTCTCTGAGCGTGGGCCTCCTCCTCCTCCTCCGCCTCATTCCTTCTCTGGGCGTGGGGAAAGCCCCCCCCTGCCCCACCCCCCGAGACAGGAAGCCTGTGCCGCCTGGCTCGGCGGCGGTGCGCGGCGACTTCTTCTGTGTGGGAGCGGGTCCCGTCGCGAACCCACGCGCCTCATCGTACAGTGGAGGCCCGACCACAAGAAACCTGCCGCAAAAAAAAAACACCCCGAGAGCCCAGGACGTCCATGAACTTCTGGCGTGGGAGCGTCACGCTTTCCGCAGCAGAACCATCGAGACCCAGGAAATCCAGGGCACCCTAGAGGCGAGCCGGGTGTTTCTTGGCATGGGCCTCCACTGCATGTTGAATTGATGGGGGACCGTTTGTGCCTCCCCCTGACCCAGCCATCCGCGCCATATCCGAAACCACCCGAGACTGTCCGAGACCATGCCATGGCTATCTGTCCGAAGCCGTCCCGAGGATACCCGAAGCAATTCCCCGGAGCTGTCCGAGGCCTCCTGGAGGCCGACGAGGGCCGCCAGAGTCGGGGCAGAGGAGGTCCCGCAGAGATTCGATGCGAGTGATCAAGGATTGCGCTCTCTCGAATTCTGCAGCGGGCCTCACGGGGGTCCCCCTGGTGGGCAGCGGCCGCTGCACCGGCGAGAGCTTCACCTCGATGTTGCGCGCGAGGTCGCGCACCCTGGGCGTCAGCTTGGACTCCTTGAGCAAGCACGAGGCGTTGGAGGCGGCGCTGGAGTCGAAGCCCAGGGAGCGGAGCAGCGCGAAGGGCGAGTCGTGCTTGAGGAGGGACTCGATGAGCTGCCGGTCGGAGCACCCTGGCCGGCAGCCCAGGTCCTCCTCGATGCCCGGGCGCGCCCGGAGCAGCCGGGCGAGCTGCTCGCGCGCCTCCTCGGGCGTGCCCGGGATCAAGTGGAGGGGCACCCTCGGCACCGCGTGCTGCATCGCCTCCGCCGGCACGACACCGAGGAGGTGTGGGGGGGCAACCACTCTGCGAGGCCCGCCTGGAACACTCGAGCAAATGTCTGCGGAGGGAGAGGGCATGAGGAGAATGAGGACGAGTATCGCCACGAGCGCCTGTAAGTACAAGAAGGAGGACGAGGAAGAGCAGGTGGACAGACAGGACGACAAGGGGGGGACAGACACGAGGGGGACGAAGCCAGGGAGGAGAGAGGACAGGGCAAGAACGAGGGGGACGTGGACGGTGGAGGTGTTAGGAAGGAAGAAGATGAGGGGGACCCCCCCGGACTCAACAATCCTCAATGCTAGCCGTCGTGGGCCGGACACATGGTGTGATTGCACTCTCGACGAAGGCCGTGCAATCCGTGTGTGCTTGTGTGTGTGTGCGTGTGTGGCGCAACACATGCAAACGTGCGCGGTGCAATAGATGTGGTGCAAAGTACGGGACGCAATGTATGTGGTGCAGTCAGAATGTGGTGCCACATGCGTGGTGGAACCTGTGGTGTAACTAGTGCGGTGCAACATGCGTCGTGCCGTCCGTGTGGTGCAACAGATGGGGTACAATTCATATTTGAAGAGCTCGAGGTCGTCAGCTCCAATGCTCGGGCGGACATCCGACCCACCTACACGCACTTCGTTGAAATGGTTCACGAAGCCGTGAGCACAGTTACATAATTATCGGAATCTGCTAGCACATCCACAAAGGCGCACCGACACGACGTGGACCCTTCTCTTGCAGTCGGCATGCGCGTGCGGGGGCGCGCGCGCGCGTAATCCGCACTGTTTCGTGTGAGTGGGGTGACAAGACACCTATGGTATATAATGGCTCTAGCAAGTGCACTGGCGCAGAAATCTTCCCCATTTCCGAGTTGAAAATCGATTGCGAATTCAGCATGTGGTTTGAACACTCCGACCTCGACGTGATGTTCGTCAGCATGGGCCCTGGACAATAAGACATTGCACTGCGCATATACAAACTATGCGGTGCAAGCTGTGTAGTACAAGGTGATGTGGTGCAATATGCGCGGTGCTAGCTCGGGGCCGCAACGAAGCCGCAACGGACGGCAACGCGGCGAACCCTCGCCAGACCCCCCCCCCCTAGGCGGCAACGACGAGGCAGCGACGGGCGGCAACGTGGCGAAACCTCGCCGGACCCACCCAGCGCACGAGGCGGCAGCGACGTGGCAACGAACCGCAATGTGGCGAAACCTCGCCAGACCCACCCAGCGCACAAGGCGACAACAAGACGCGGTAATTCGTTGCAGCGTGGCGGAGCCTCGCCGCCCCAACCCAGCGCACGAGGAGGCAACGAGGCGGCAACGAGTGGCAACGTGGCGAAGCCTCGCCAGACTCCCCCAGCGAACGAGGTGGCAACAAAGCGGCAACGGGTGGCAACGTGGCGAAGCCTCGCCAGACCCATCCTGCGAGCGAGGCAGCAACAGGGCGGCAACGAGCAGCAACGTGGCGAAACCTCGCCGGACCCGCCCTGCGCAGGAGTCGGTAACGAGGCGGGACGAGGCGGCAACCGCGCGGCAACCGGCGGCACACTTGGAACATCTGCTCCGTACCCAATCAATCCCTTTCTGGGAGACAAGTAAATATCCCTAAGTGCAAGCACTGTTTAGGGAATAACACACAAAAGCGCGTGGTGCATTGCCGTGACGAAAGTTTGTGCGGTTCGGTGTGATGTTGGAATCTCCTATCCCTCTGACGACTCCTAAAAGGGAAAAATGGCCCCTGTGCTCCCGCGGAATGATTCGGGTCCCTGTCAATGAAGAGCAATGTTCTCACAGAACAAGATTGACCGAAACTTACTCCGCCTAAAAGAGATTAGAGACCTATAAGCATAAATAAAAATCTAAGGACGGAATTAGGAAGAAATGCCAGGCTAGAAAAAACAAAAAAAACAAAAAAAAGAAAGTAACAAATAAAAAAACTAAAAAAAAAAAAACAAAAAAAAATAAACTAGAAATAAACACAACATAAACAAACAAAACTCACCCCTAAGCTAGGCCCCCCCCAAATGACCACCCCCCCCCGCCCCCACCCCCATCATCCCCTCCCCCAATCACCCCCCCCCTCCCTCCCACACAACCAACCCCACGCAACCACGAACAACCCGCCACTTACTCCGCCCCAGCTGTGATGAATAATGGGCGGGATGCGTGTCCGTGCGGAGTAATTTCTACTCCGCCGAGTCCGCCAGTCGGCAATCGTCTTGCGCGCAGACCACATCATACGTTGGTCACCGGCAGAGCGCTGGTGGATGCCCCTCTAGTTGAACATGGGGGGGGCGTGCTCGCAACGCCCCCCCTTCGACGGGTGGGGGAATTGTCGGACCTCCCCCCCTCCCCCCTTTGAAAAGGGGGGGGGGTGGGGGTTTCGGACACCGCCCCTGCACCAGAGAGGGGGAGATGAGGATGTTGGACCTACCCCCCCCCTCCCTGCGCCGGTTGGGTGGGGGGGGATTCCTCTGTGTGTTAGGCCAGAGGATCGTGAGCGGCCCAGAGTTCCATCGTGAAAGGTTAACACTCGGGGTGTGCAAGAAAACATGTCATACATATTAGTTGCATCGGATCGTGAAGGTTGAGGGCTTGAGAAGGCGATGCTGAGATCAGAAAATGTTCACTGCATAGTGTTTTGTTGCAGAAGATCGCGAAACAGTTACAACCGGGCCTGCCCAGAAACGCAAAGTATGTGCAGCGGAGCGTGAAGGTTGAGGGCTTCAGAAGGCGATGCTGAGATCAGCAGATGTGCGAGTGGGATGTGGAGACAAGCATAGCATTTGAATCGAATCGCGAGGGCTGAAGGCCTGAGAAGGCAGGTCAAGATCAGCAGATGTGCGCAGCATGGCATTATTCCCCGACTCTTGCGTTGGTCTCTCGTTTCGCATGGAGCATTGCGGTCGCGACCTCCTCCTCCTGCCCCCCTTCCTCCTGTCCCCTCCTGCCTGCCTGCTACCCTGCCTCCTACCTCGCCGTCCTGCCCGGGGGTCTCGCTGGGAGGCTGCGAACTGCTACACGGTCGCCACGTTCGAGGACTGATGGGTCCAGCGGAGCGACGCCGTACGCAGATCTACACTAGACCTCGCCATCCCTAGGGGGCTGCGAACTGGGAAACTGCCTGACACGTTCTAGGGCAGCGGGGGGGTCCAGCGGACTGGCGCCTTACACAGACCTAAACTAAACCTCGCCACCCCTGGGGGGGGGGGGGGGGGCGGACTGCCAAACTGTCGCCACTTTCGACTGCTGGGCGGTCCAGCGGAGCGACGCCTGGGGGTCTGCGAACTGCGAAACGGGCGCGTGTCGTGGTCCCAGGGCTTGGGGCTGACGAGTGCATGTGGTGCAGCCTGTGCGCTCCCGGCTGCCGGCGACCGTGTCGATTCGCCTACGGTCCACGGCGGCGTCGCCCACGGCCACCTCTTGCTGCCTCGGTCCGTCGTTGAGGCGTGGATCTCCATGGTCGGGCAGCCCTCCGTCGTCGGTGATAGCATGAGAGTGCGCGTGGCACCCCCTGGTCCGGTAGCTCAGGCGCCGACGGTGTCGAGCTCCTCCATCGTTCCCCCTGGCTGCCTCGCCCTTGTCCGGCGTCCTCCGTGGCCGGACGCTTGCAGGATCAGTGCTCCTCTGCGGGGTTGGTGTGCGACTTTGGTGGCGCCACCCAGCGCACCAGTTTGGGCCCTGTGAGGCACCATTGGCCGTTTCCCCCGTGTAACGGCGGGCTCCTCCCTGGTCACACCCTGGCAGAGCGCCGCGCCATTTTGGCTGCGCCCCAACCGCGGTTGGTCAATTCGCTGCAATTCAATTCACACCTGCTGGCCCTGCTCTCAGGTTGTCGCACGCTTGCAGCCCCCGGCAGCTCGCAGCACCTCCCCCCCGGCTCCTGTTGCTGCTCCGGCCCTGAGGCTTCGGCGGTAGGGCCTGCTCTGCTCCGCGCTAGGTAATTAGGCCCCCGCGCGGCCCGCTCGGACCTTACTCGCCGTTGGCGCGCTCGCCGTCGGCTGCTAACAAAAAGAGGGCTGCTGCGGAGTCCAGCGGAGTGGCGTCGTATGCAGATTCAGGTTCGACCTCGCCATTCCTGTGGGGCTGGGAACAGCGAGACTGTAGCCGTGTTCGAGGGCTGCTGGGGGGTCCAGCAGAGTGACGTCGTACGAAAGCTCACATAAGACCTCGCAACCGCAAAGTGGGGGCTGCGAACTGCGATACCGTCGCCACGTCGTTCGAGGGCTGCTAAGGGGGTCCAGCGGAGTGACGTCTTACACGGGCTAAGACGAGACCTCGCCATCCCTAGGGGGCTGCGAAATGCGACACTATCGCAACTTTCGAGGGCAGCTGCGGGTTCCAGCGGGGTGACGCCTTCCGGCAGACTCACATTAGACCTCGCCGTCCCTGGATGGCTGCGACCTGCGCAGATGTCGCCACTTTCGAGGGCAGCTGGGGGTCCAGCGGAATGACTCTTGACACATATTCAGATTCAGTTTGCCATCCGTGGGGTGGGGGGGCTGCGGACTGCAAAACTGCCGCCATTCTCGAGGGCTGCTCGGGGATCCAGCGGAGTGACGCCTTACGAAGACTCACATTAGACCTCGCCATCTTGTGGGGGGCAAGCTGCGAACAGCGAAACTGCCGCCACTTTCGAGGGCTGCTGGGGGGTCCAGCAAAGTAACCTCATACGCAGACTCTGATTGGACATCGCCGTCCCTGGGGGGCTGCGAACAGCGAAACCGTCACCACGTTTGAAGGCCGCCGGGGGGTCCAGCGGAAGGGCGTCTCACGCGGACTTAGATTCGACCTCGCCATCCCTGGGGGCTGCGAAATGCGCAAATGTCGCCAAGATCGAGGGCTGCTGGGGGGTCCAGCAAGATGACGTCTCACGACGGCTCAGATTGGACCTCGCCATCCCCGGGGGGGGGGGCTGCGAACTGCCAAACAATCCACATTTTCGAAGGTTGCTGAGGGTTTCAGCGGAATGGCGTTCTACGCGGACTTAGAGTAGACCTCGCCCTCCCTGGGGGGGCTGCGAACTGCGCAACTGTTGCAAAGATCGGGGCAGCTGGGGTGTCCAGCGGGGTGGCGCCTTATGCAGACCTAAACTCAACCTCGCCATCCCTCGGGGAGGGCTGCGGACTGCCAAACTGTCGCCGCTTTCGGGGGCTGCTGGTAGGTCCAGCAGAGTGACGCCTTGCGCAGCCTCATACTAGACCTCGCCATCCCCCCGCGGGGGTGGTGGAGCAGGCAGATGGGCGAGACGCGGGGGGCATGGGCGTAGATGAGGCGGAGGCGCGTAGCAAGCAAGAGGAAGGCGGTGCGATAATTACTGAAGCGGGAGGCGCTGGCGTCCAGGAGATTGAGCAGGGGAGCCCTGACCCAGGACAGACATGAAGGGGCCCTGGGACACACAAATAAATACACGCAAATAACAGGATTCCCCCCCATATTTGAAGTTTTGGGGGGGATTTTCGTCTTCACCCCCACTTCCCATATTTTCCCTTATTTTCCTGGGAGTCGACAACTCACTGTGCCTGTGTGTTTTTTTTCCCCTCCTGAAGATACACGACAATGGATCCCCCGTGAAAGGGTCCCCACCTCCCGGTGCCGACGCCCCCCTGAGATGCCTGGGTGCCTGCTCTTCGGGATGGCCAGTCGACGACTGGGCTCAGAACTTCAGCTCGGCGCCGACTGCGCTGCCGCTGGAGAGACAAAACTGGCACGCCAAGGTCCACGCTCTCTTCTTCGGCGTCTCGACACTGGGCGGACGGGGGGCGGGGGAGGAGTCTGGCGCCGGACCTCTCCCGGAGGCGACCGTTTGGGGGGACCGTGCGTCCTATGGTGGAGGCTCCGCCTGCTCGAAACAGGCGCCAGAAACATCCGACATCTGCGCCATGGGGGAGGGGGGGGGGGGGGGGGGCAAACCCCGAGCGCCGAAGCCGCTGCTATCGCATCGCATTCCGCCACCTGGGGACCCCAAGTGAGCCCGCACCAGAGGCTGCTCCAGCGAGAGGTCTCGCGTGCAGCCGATGACCTCCTCGACGCCCCAGGTGCTCAGGTGACCGCCAGACTCGGGGCCCGCGCCGATCGGCAAGACAAAAAACGATCGCCAGTGCCCTCGACGTCATGGCGCAGCAAGCGCGCTGGCGGTCTGTCCGTCGCACCGCCGGGCCCCGCCGCGGGGGGGGCCGAGAGCCCGGGGCGCCGAGCCCACCGACCGGGAGCTCGGCGGAAGGCGGGCCCTCCCCGATCGCTTCACCGGCCATCTGAGCGGGTTCGCCCAGCGCTCGCGCTCGCGCCAGAGGTAGCAGAACGGCTGCTTCCTGGACGCATCGCGGGGGACGTCGAGCTCGCCAGAGGAGGAGCATGGCGGGGGGGGGAGGGGGGGGGCAGGGGAGGCGGAGAGGAGGTGGAGGCGCAGCAGGCAAGAGCAGTGCTTGGCCAGAGAGGGAGGACCACGGGATCACCAGAGAGGGTTCAGAAAGCAAAGCACGAAACACCCGCGATGTCTCAAGTATCCTTCGTTACCTCTGTCGGAGTATCGTGGTGGGGAGGGGATCTTTGAGTTTCCTCAGGGCCTGCTCGCATGCAATGGCTCACGGCCCAGCGTGTCAGGTCACGGGCAACTCGTAAAAAAAGCTGATCCAGGAGGCGAGGTTGGACGCGTGGTGCCCCCGGCATGCACAAGCCAGGGAGAGGCCCTGGACGTGCCGGGCTCGATCACCGAGCGGCCGTGCTGGAAGCCGCCGGGGCAGGAGGAGCGACAGAGGGCAGCAGAGCACGACGGCACGGCCGCCCTGGGGAGGGCCGGAGGGAGACTTTGGGATGGAGGGGGGGGGAGGGGGAGGGAGGAGGAGGGGGAGGAGGGGAGGGGGAGAGGAGGGGGAGGGGAGAGGAGGGGGAGGAGAGGAGGGGAGGGAGAGGGGGGAGGGGGAGGGGGGAGGGGGAGGGGGGGGGGAGGGGGGGGGGAGGGGGAGGAGGAGGGCCGCGTGCCGCTTGGCGGCGGGCGCGCACGCCCGCCGCGCCACATAAAAAAAAAACGGAGGCCGCGAGCCTCGGAGCGTACACGTGCCGCGGGGGGCGCGCGCGCCGCGCGGGGCGCGCGCGCCGCGCGGGGCACGCGCCGCACTCGCCGCGAGGCGGCGCAGCGCGGGAGGGAAGCCGCCCAGCGCGCGCCAAGGGGGCGCCGCACCACACACAGCCCGAGCCCGCGAGCCAGGTGCTGCGGCCTTCGTGGCGAGAGCGCCGCGGGAGGCACACCCAGGAGGCCACAGAGCGGGAGGACAGGCCTCGCGCCGCGACTGCGAGGAGGAAGCAGGCGTGCGCTCCTGCGCCGCTCCTCCCTCGTACCCCCTTCTGCCCCTCCATTCCCTTTCCCGATCCTCCCTCCTCTATCCAGTGTCCTCCGTCCCTCGCTCCACGCTCCGCGACCCTGGCTCACCCTGCCCTGTTCCACCTCTTTTGGTCGTACCTTCTCCCTCCTCCCTCACCTGGCCAACGTCCCTCCTCCTCCTCCTCCTCCTCCTCCTATTTCCCTATCTCCTCCTCCTTCTCTTCCTCCGCCTCTTCCTCCTCCTCCTCCTTCTCCTTCTCCTCCTCCTCACTCCTCCTTCCTCCCTCCCTCCCCTACTCCTCTCCTCCTCCTCCTCCTCCTCCTCCTCCTCCTCCTCTCCTCTCCCTCCTCCTCCTCCTCCTCCTCCTCCTACCCTCCTCCTCCTACGCCTCCTCCTCCTTCCTCCCTCCTCCTCCTCCTCCTCCTCCTCCCTCCTCCCTCCTCCTCCGCCTCCTCCCTCCTCTCCTCCTCCTCCTCTTGCTGCACCTCCTCCTCCTCCTGCTGCTCCTTCTCCTCCTCCCCCTCCTCCTTCTCATCTTCCTCCTCCTCCTCCTCCTCCTCCTCCTCCTCCTCCTCCTCCTCCTCCTCCTCCTCCTCCTCCTCCCTTTCCGATGTTGCAAGACAAAACGTGCCTGGGCACTCGGAGCGACCAAGAGTTACGTTTTGAGGGCATTCGGGGCATCTCGGGGCCCTCGTGGGCTGTCTGGGAATTTTGGGGCGCTGCTTGGCACACCTGGGGGCGTCTCATGGCCCTCCTGGGATCTCCGTGGGGCTGCCAGGGCTGGCCAAGGGGAGGATCGAGAGCGAGGGATTGCTTGGGAGGCGCCTGGGGGCCCCGGCCCCCGAGGGTGGTCGACCCCAGTCGGGAGAGGATGCACAGCGAGATAGGATCATAGCAATGCACGGTGAGGATGCGAGGACATGCGACGCCCAAGCTGAAGATGTTGACACGACATTGGCCAGCAATCGTGGCTGCTTAAGCGTGGGCCGAAGAGGCAAGGAGGAGCGGGTGCCCTTGGGAAAGCTAGTGATCCTCATGATCCCGCTTGGCCGCACGAGTTTGGCGGCTGGGAGCTCCCGCCTTGGACAGCCCGACCCTGCCCCCAGGAACCCGCACGTGCGTGTGGTGCGTGTGCTCTCGGCACGTGACGCAGACCTGGGCGACCGGGGGCGCCTCCGCACCACCCTCAGAGCAGGCTGGCGAGTGGGGCGTCCCTGTGCCTCACCAGCTTCAAACGTCTGGACTGAGGCGGCGGGGACCTCACGTAGTCTCGCGCTGGCATCTCCCACGCTTCGAGCCACTACTTCAAACACCGTGTGATGCACTCTGCTGCGCGGGCGGCCTCGATTTAGCCCGCGCGAGCTTCTGACCGTCGCCGAGGTCATCGCCTCCCCTCCTCCGCCCCTCTGCGCGAATCGAACATCCGGAGCCTCGACCTCAGCATTCCATTGCGCCACCTACGTCCGCGGCCAAGAACTCCGCCACCACATCGAACGCCTTTGTGATGTTGACGGCGTCCTTCTCCGAGATGCGCATGCCCTGCCCGCCGCTCTCGGTGATGCGGTTCACCCACGAGTCCATTCTGCGCAGGTTCTGCTCCTTCAGTGGACCGACCGTTATCATCACCATGTTCAGGTTTGCGGGGGCGCGCGTGCTCAGGGTGTGGTCGACCATCTCCCCGCTCTGGTTGCCCCGCTGGCTCCCGAGATCGTCGCCGTCCGTCAGGCAGACGAGCCAGCGCATGCCCTCCGCAGGAGCCAGGCCCGGTTGGCCCAGCAGCTGCAGGGAGGTGACCACCGCGTCGTAGAAGCACGTGCCGCCCGAGGCCTGCGGCCGGAGGCTGGCGATGCGGGCGTGGATGGCTTGGGCGCTCGCCCCCTTCGCCGTGGGGGGGATCACCGTCTGCACGCTCGGCCCGAAGCCGACGACGCTCACGAAGTCGCAGTCGCGCACCTGGTCGTTCAGGATCCGCTGCACGCTCTGCTGGCACATCTCGAAGCGCGACAGCGGGGTCCTCGTGTCCCGCGACATCATGGAGGCGCTCCAGTCCAGGCAGAAGACCACAACCTTCGGAGCAGCTGGCGACATCGAGGTCACTGCTGCGGTGCCAGCCAGCGCCAGAGAGCTACCTCCATGCGTAGCTGGAAGCACCTGTGGCGTAGGAGGCTCCTGAGGGCGTCCCATGTCGTGCGCTTCGGTCGGAATAGCTGCCACGTCCAGCCCAGGCAGTCGAGCGAAAGCCTCTGTCACCTCTTGGACGCTCATCCACCGGTGGCGCTGGCAAATGTCTACCAGGCGCTCCCTGGCGATGGGGTCCGACAAGAGCTGCGAGGCCTTGGAAAACACCTCCTCGCACAGCTCGTTGACGCGGACTCCCGTGTTGTAAAGTGCGGCGGAGTCCCTGATGCGGCCCGCAACCTCCTGGTCGCCCCACCCGAGGATCGTGCCTACCGCTTCCGCGGAGCCACTGGCAGGCAGGGCCTCTCGGTACTTCTCGCTAAGGCCCGCGTAGTCGGTCGCGTTCAGGATGCAGCAGAACTGCCCCCGCCGATCCTGACGAGCAGTGCGACCCAGAAACTGCGTCCAGTCCCGCCGGGAAGGCGGCACAATGGTCGGTATGAGCAGCAGGCCCCCCTGCGCATCCACGCCCGAATCGTCCACCCGGTAGTCCGTGCCGCGGCCACCGCGAGGGTCCGTCACCGTGATTCTCCAGGTCTTGCTGCCGACGGTCGCGTCCCCCACGGGCATGGTCGCCCTGTTCAGGTTCTCCTTCCACTGCTCCGGGTCGGCCTCGTAGAGCGTCCGAGACAGCAGCCGCACCACGTCCTCGCTGGCCGAGCCCAGCCCGCGCGAGCGAGCGCCCTGGCGGAGCCGGTCCACCATGATGTCGGCGATGACGCGGTCCTTCGCCACAACCAGGACGGGGACGCGCTCTCTCGCGTCGAAGGCCACCTCGATGAGGCGTACGATCTGGCTCTCTTGGCTGGCCTCGACGTAGACAGCCCTCCGCTGGTCCCCGAGGCTCGCCGGGACGGCCTCGTGGAAAGGCGAGCCGCGGCAAGTCTTCAGGAAAGGCGGCACCTCGAAGAAGGACGCCCTGTACGTGTCCCGGAGAAAATCGCGCTCGGGCTGGCTCCCAATAGACCCGCTCAAGCCTAGTATACAGCTATATTTCCTGAACACCCGCGGCCTTGACATCACAAATAGCCGCTCCTGGAACAAAATGTCTCGACTAAAGCCGTCCTGGAAGTTGCGGCACTCGAGTGCCAAGGACCAAGCTTTAGGGTTAGCGCGGCCAGACTGGAGGGCGCAGTACTTGCCCAAGTCCTTCACGAAAACGCAGTCCTCACCAGGCGTCATCTGAGCACCACGATGCCACTCCTTCGCCATCTCGCTGCAGACCCGAGCTCCAGCCGGACAAGAATGCGAATGGACGGCGCGGAGCTCCTCGACTGTGGTATTCCGCGCCAGAGAGCCTGCGATGGAGGTTGCCATTTCGCTCAGTTCCGCATTTGGGTACACGAACGCCTCGTTGGGCTCCTCATCGATGACCAGAGCGTCGACTTCGTCCAAGATGAGCACGCGATCCTTGTATTCGTCGAAGTTTGCGTCGGAGCCCCGCGCGATACTGGCGTAGAATGACTGCACATGCTTCGCCTCGCAGTAACAGATATCTGCCTCGGGATCCAGGCGCACGACGAGGCTCTTGTCGTTTCTATTGGTGGAAGCCTTGTCCTCGGAAACGCAGAGGGCAGAAGACAGCGGCCGCTTGGGCAGCCCAGCTTTGGCGGGCACCTCGAAGTTGTCGAACAGACTCTTGAAGGTCGAAAAGTCTCGCTCCAGAAGAGTCTCGTCGTCGACCACGACATGCACCTTCTTGCCAAGCACGACGACGACGTAAATGGCCAAAGCGGCCACGATCATAGACTTTCCCTCGCCGGTGCCCACCTGGGCGATCAGCGTGTGCGGGGTCTGCTTGGTGCGTTCGGCCTCCAAGAAACACTTGAACGCCAGAAGGGTAACCACCTGCGTGTGATGCGGCAAGACCAGAAGATCGAACCTGCTGTGCATCGCCCGGGCCCACTGGTAGAATATCTCCCTGAAAGGCCCAAGACCGTCAGTTCTGAACATCCTTGAAAAAGCGGACGACGGCGGATTCCGAAGCTCTTCAAGGACGGTCTCCACGTCCTTGGTGTCCATGAGACCTCGTCCCGCCGACATGCGCACCAGCTCCCTCCCAGGAGGGTACTCGCGCTCGGCCGATGCGAGGTAACCAGCGACGGTGGGCTCCAGCGCCTTGGCCTGCTTCCTGAATTCCACATGGGTCAATCGCAAATCTTCCATAGCAGCATACTTCAGGAAGAACAGCATCGTCTCCACGTGTGACAGCAATCCGCGCATATCCTTTGGCTCTGTTGACGCATCTTCGATGATCGCCTGCGCACGCGAAAGGAACACACTGTCTGAACTCTCGCAGCGGTCGACCAGTCGAAGGCATATGTCCAGATCTGTGAAGTCGAAGTGCCCCAGGCGAGGGCATTTCACTACCTTCTGTACAATCAGCTTCTGAACACCGTTGCAGTGGGCCATCGCCTTGGCCTGCCAGGCCAATATGACCTCGCTGATGCGCTCCAGGGCTTTCTGGTCACTCCTGCGGATGTCCATCTTCGTAAGCTGCGCCTCCTTGAGCGCCCGGAAGATGCGCTGGCTATGCTGCGTGAGGGTCGGGAGGGTGCCAGGCAGGCGCTCGACCTCCCTCAACACGTCCTTCAAAGTGTGCTCCACTCCTCGCCAAGAGAGCAGCCGCTCCTGTGCCAGCTTCACTACGGCCTCAACCACACCCCTGCTCTCGCCGAAGTGCGAGTAGTCCCGCTGCTTCCACTTCCTCAGCTCGGTGTCCAAGAGACTGAGATCGCCCAACTCCATTGCCGCCTGCAACGGGGGCAACTCCTTCAGCACGGTTAGGATGCTGTCGGTGACGGCCCGCTCTTTCCGCAACTGCTCCTCGGTATGCTGCCGTCCCTGAGTCAACATCCTCTCCGCAGCAGCCTTCTCCTCCGCAACCTTGCGCTCGCACTCAGCGTGCAACTCCTGCATCTTGCGCCTCATAGCGGCCTCTTCCTCCGCCATCTTGCGCTCGCTATCCGCACGGAAGGTGTCCAGGCTCTTCCTCAGCTCTGCCCTCTCAGCCTCCATCGTCTGACGCTCGGCGTCGAATTCCTGCTTCTGCCTGACAAGCTGCTCGCATTCCTCACGGAGTGCTTCCAGCTGTGTTGCCTTCTCCCTTAACTCGAGCTCGAACTGCCTTTTCTGCTCCAGGCACTCGTCGACGGCCTTCTCCATCTCCTCCTCCAGCAGTGCCTTCTCCTCGAGGTGCTCCTGCCGCATGCGGATCTTCTCCTCCTGCAGCTGCTCGAGATGGACCATGCTCTCCTCCAGCATGCTGAGAACGTGAGCGGTGGGATCGTCGGAGTTCTGATCCCCCTTCCCGCTCAGGGCCAAGCCCTGTCGGAGCCCGTCCATGCCTGCCACGACCTGGCGGCCAAGCGCGCAACTGTCCGCCCCGTGAGCGGGCAGGGCGCCAGAGCCGCCGATATTTTCGAGCCGATAGGGCTACGCATCGCCGCTCCGCTCGCCTGGCTTCTGAGCCTCGCTGCGTCCTGAAGGCGCGACAGCTCCCGGGGAGGACGTGTGGAAGCGTAGCAGCTCGGACCAGACAGAGCGACGTTGACGGACCACACGAGGACGAATACTACCGAAGCAGCCCGCTGAGGAAGGCGCCGTCTGGCTGGCTCGGAGCACAGAGGATGACGACTGTGGTGGTGATGGCGACGGCAATGGTGATGGTAATGCAGGTGACCACGATGATGATGACGGTGACAACGATGACACTAGCGGAGATAATGAAAATTAATGACGGGGATGAAAGGGAAGCGCGCACATAGAACCTCTGATAGATGGTTGATTCAGGGACCAATCGGCTTCCACATGTGCTGGGGCACATCTACCTTGAAATTTTTAGAACACCAACAGTGCTGGAATGCGTTCGCAATGTGCGCGCGGGGACGCTTGTGTGAGGTCCTCATGGTTCTACTTGACAGAATGGGCGGCTGCGCGATGGCGATTGTATAGTTCTGGCATTGGCAGGATCGCAAGCACAAACAAGCTATGGTTTAGTCATTACTTCAGCAAGTGCGCGCCCAGACCGTATGATTCGCAAGTGGTGGCGCAGGACTGCTGCCTATAATTTGACGAGACCTACCGCTGCGATGTTGGACACACAGCTTCTTCTCTATGCGGTTGACATGCGCGAGTGGGGGCACGCGTGACTGTGGCCTTGCATGGTCATAGTCGGCACGGTCTCAGAGACACTCGACTTGCACGATCAAACCGAGCGCTCCGCCTACATTCTGTTGACAGGAGTGAGGGGTGCGTGTGTGTGAGGGGGGGCAAACGAGGCCTGGCTGTGCTTGTAACATGGGATACACAAAACGAAAGATCGTGCATGGTAACTATGAGCCCAGCCCGGTACCAATTAGGGGGTCTTCTTGCTTCTCAAGAAACTCGAATCATATCTGAGCAACGCAAGGCCATGCACTGCACAGAATTCCTTGGCATGGCATGGCTCTGCTTGAAATCGTTGCTTGGCAAAGACTTGCATTGCTTTTGCTGTGCTTGGTGTTTCTGAGTGTTGCTTGGCGTTGCTTGAAAGTTGTTGGCCTTGCCTTGCGCTAGCTTGACATAGCTTGGCGTTGCTTGGCATTGCTTGGCATCGCTTGGCATTGCTCATCATCGCTTGGCGTTACTTGGCGCTGTTTGGTATTAATTGGGGTTGTTTGGCATTGGTTGGCGTTGCTTGGCAATGCTAGACATTGCTTGGTATTGTCTGAAATTAGTTGGCCTTGCGTGGCAGTGCCTTCCAGTGCTTGGGAGTGCTTAGTATTGCTTGACGCTGCTTGGCATTATTTGAACTCGTTGCCTGGCATTGCGTTGCATTGCTTGGTATTCCTTGGCGATGCTTGGCATTGCGTGGCAACCTCGAACAACGATTCGGGGGCGGCCAAGAGGGGGGCGTCCAAGAGGGGGGTGCGCAAATCATGGCCGGCGGCATGTGCGCGGCCCAGGGGGGGGCCGGGGACGTCTTGAAATAAGAAGAGGCGCCGTGAAATCTGGGCTCCCGCCATGATATCACCCCCCCCCCCCAGTCATCACCCCCCTCTTGACAGCCCCTGAACGAGGAGCAACCCTGGGCAACCACGGGACAACCGCGGGGAACCCCGAGGAATTCCTGGAGCGAAAGACCCCGCACCCACCAGTTTCATTTTCACGCACAAGTTAGAGTCCCTTTCGGGGCAGAGCCTCATTGGGGAGCGATGGGCACGTGCGCTGAGGTGAACTGTGAAGTCCGGCCACGGCATGTGGATACCCAGACCCCCTCGCGTTGTGAAAAAAACACGACGGGATATGTTTGGCTATTTTCGGTCTCTGGGGGCCCTTACCAGGCCCCGGAACTGTCAAAAAACGACTCAGGATGAAAAACCAGTCCCGGGGAAGGGGTCCAGACCTCTGGGGGTCAACGTTGTAAACAAGTCACGACGTCAGGGGCCTGGGTAGAATGCAAAATGTTCTCGGAAAAGGCCGGGGGGCATTCTACTTAGATGGTGAAATGCATGTGGTCCGAGCTGGGGGGCGCTACTTATGGCGTGCAACCTGGGGGGTGGTGTGCAATCCACGAGGTGGCCTATGTTTGGTGTGCAATTTATGATCAGCTAGTTCAGCTAGTTTCCGGTAAAAAATAACGGACTTCACTCCAAGCGTCTTCTTAAACGGTAGCCCTGGTCCAGATCAACCAAAAAGGAAAACAGCTCCAAGAGAACGCCCAGGGTCCAGTCCAGATTCTTGATTGTCTTACGCGAAATCTGGAAACAATGAAACTTCATGCTTTGAATCCAGCTTTATGCTGGATGCACATACTAAGGTGTGCTACCCTTTGCCCGAAACATATTGTGTACAATTCGTGCAATGTCTCACGCTCGCAAACATACCCTGAAGAATGTCCACTTTACAATGCGCAGTGTTGCTTGCGAACATAATTTCATGGTCATGCTTCTGTCCCTGAAGGTTTAATCGATGGGAGGAAACCCGTGCGGCACAACATGGTGCAAGCAAGCTATGTGGGCCATGTCCTCCAAGCAATGTGTGTGTGGTGCCATCGCTGTGGTGCAACCAATGTGCTGCCATCTATGTATTGCAATTTATATCGAGCAATGTGGGCCCACACATCCGACGTCTCGATTTTTTCGACACACGGGCCCCCGGCCTCCCGACCACACCCCCCGGACCGGTTTCTCATCCCGGATCGTTGTTCGACGGTCCCGAGGCCTGGCGAGGGCCCCGAGCGCCCTCAAGGGGCGAACACCCGGACGTGCCAAGCCAACGCTGGCCATCGCTCGGACGTCCATTCCCTGTGCTTTGTTTCGGCTTCGTGCGTGGTTTTTGTTCGCCACATGATCAAGGATGCTCCTCGATGGTCCTCGCCGAAGGAAAAACGCACACGCCCGAGCGATGCCAAGAACGAGTGCGCACGGCCACGAGGCGGCCACGGGCCGCCCACGGGGCGGAAGCTCGGACACGCTGGCCAGTGCCAAAAGGCGGGAGCACACGCCGGGCCCAGGGACAGGAAGTACTACCCTCGTCAAAAGTAACCTCAACAGTTGCTGGCACGTCATTTCGATTTCGGCGCGCCCCTCAATGTCGACACGCCGCCCCTTCAATGTCGGGGCGAGGGCAAAGATAGTCTGACCGAAGTTGACTCGAAAGTTTGACGTCGACCGACCTTGGAGGGGCGGCGCATGCAAGTACCCCGCATTCATCGATACTCGGCCCCAGATCTTCCGACAAGCAGTTCAACCACGTCAGACATTTTTGAGGTTAATTTTGACGAGGGTTGTAGGAAGGCGGATGAAGAAGACCGTGTTCAGGCCCTCCCCGAGCATCGCAGAACACAGCGGGAGCAGAGATCGGTTCCTGAAGTAGGGGGGCGCTTGAAGCAAATTGGGATCTGGGAATCCAGAGATACCCACTTTCAACGACCGGCGGGTAGGAGTCCCTAGTGCGAGCACTGCTGGGCGGAGAACGAGCCGCCACAACCTGACTCCCGACCGCCATGGCGGAGTTGCGGGCACCAAGAGAGGGTCCACGGCGGCCCTAGAGGAGCTCAGGAGCGCCTCAGACGGACCCAGACGACCCCAAGGAAGCCACAAGACGGCACATGTATTCGGCTGGAGACGACTCCAAGAGACCCGTCTGGGAGGCCAAGACAACTCAAAATGGCCACCCAACGGCTCGATAGAGGCTCGAGACCAACCGCGACGACCGACAGGGCTCAAGATGGCCCGAGAGTGCCAGGGGCTGAACAGCGACCCCAAGCCCAGGACTCTACAACTACACAATATGAGTACTACTCTCCTCTCTTTCCTGACTACGTCGTGGACGTGTCCGTCCTCTTCGTGCACTGACTTTTTTACACACAGAATTGCAACTGGTGGTGTTTCAGATGGTTTGTTCAACCGAAACGCTTCGGTGTTTAAAAATTGTGCTCCCGCTGGAGCGTAGGCTTCATGTTTCTGGATCGGTGCTTTGCTCCCATCATTCGGAATAGCGCTCGCGCCCTAGCGCGGGCCACTTTTCTGGGCTTCTTTGTCCTCCTCCGCTTTCCTCTGGTCCTCCTGCCCATCCCGCTCCTCCCACTCCTGCTCCTGCTGCTTCTGTTCCTTCACGTCCTTAGCTCCTATCTTTCTGATTGCTCATGTCGCGATGGTGTCCTCCTGGGGTTCCAGGTCCGTCATGACGTCCGTCGGCGGACAGAGAAGCGCCACCGCAGTGCGACGGGACGAGTGGGAAGGGTAAAATTTCAGATATGGCGCGAGCGCACCTAGCTTGACTCCTCCCCCAGCTCTACTTGCTCCTCCCCTGTTTCCTTGACATGGGCAGGACGGGAAGCGTCGGCAGATTGAGTTTGGAACAAGACACACGACAAGAACCCCACCTCGAGCTGCCGCCGGCTCGCCGGCTCTACCGACACAAACTGGCCTATGCCAGCTTGCCGGGATCTACGGCCGCTAATCCGCCGCTTCGCTTCAGACGCTGAAGCGGCACCAGCCGCTGCCGCTAGGGAGGCTTGGAGAAATGGACAAATTCTGCGGCTGGCCACGCCAGATGGGAGGACTAGCTGGTCATCCTGGCCCACTCGACGGCAGCTGCGTCGTTACCCGACGGGCTCCAAGGGACGTACAGGCTGTCACCCGGATCAAAGCCAAGATCATTCGAGCTGTCCACGCCGACGTTGTTGTCCATGCACCCGTACCTCTCAGTCAACCCCTCCGACCGTGGCTGATCTCAAGACATGGTCCTGATCCCACCGACGATCGCGTCGGTCGCACGCAATCGGGATTGGAGAGAGGGGGGTGGTCGTCTAAGGAAGCAAAGGGCTTCTTAAAAGCCTTCCCGCCGTGTGAGACAATGATCTGCCCGCAACCGGCTGGGACACTGGGAGTCCCCTTGCGAAAGCGGCAGATTCCCAAATCAGGAATTTGACTTTGGGAGGGGATCCATG